GAAAGTTATTTTTTTCCTTATACAATAATTGCAAGTAGTCTAAATTCAAAACTGAATTTACTGTCTTATTTTTGTTAGAAATTTTATAAAACCTGTATTACATTTGTATGATTTTAGGCACAAAAACAAACTTGTTTTGTAAGAGTTAAGTCCCTTAATGGAGAATTGAATTCAAGGTGAAGAACAAAGCTGATTACCTGCTTCTATACCTCTTATCATTTTAAGAAGTTTTGTGGAGCAGAGTTGAAAGATGAAGGTGCAGGATTTCTTTACGTTTTTAAAAATTTGATGTCTGATTTTCTCTTGTATGCCTATGCTTTCTTCTTTGAAGATATGGATTAAGCTGACTTTTAGTGTGATAGGTTAAATTCTCTGAGCATTTGGGTTTCCTCTAAAGTTGATTGACTTTTCTGGTATTTGTGTTTGATTTGATGGCAGGGTACTCCAGCCCTGTCCCAGGCTGGAATTCCAACTGAGGCTTTGGTGAAGGGGTCCATTTCTAGAATGCCACTTGAAGAGAGCAGTCCAGAGAAGGGCAGAGAGGAAGCTACATCCAAAGGCCATGTTATCTATGAAGGCAAAAGTGGACATATCTTATCATATGATAGTAAGTATTGTGTGTATACACTGAAGCTTATGTTGAAATATGGGACTGAAAACATAGGCTCTGGTTTTCCTGTATTTTTGCTGTGGGGAAATCAGTCTACCTTTGCTGAGCCCATGTTTCCTTTCAGTAAAAGGGATTAATAATAACACATTCCTCGTGATGATTTTGTGGAAAATCAACTCAGTCAGAGAAAAGTGATTAACAGTGCAAAGCCCATAGTAAGTGTCCCGAGGTGGTAGTTACAATCATCACTGACTAGAATCAGTCAGTTTAGCCTAGGTAAAGAATCTTTATAACGGGCGCGGCACCTGGGGCTCAAAGGAGTAAGGCGCTAGCCCCATGTGGCAAAGGTGGCGGGTTCAAACCCAGCCCCAGCCAAAACCCACAATAAATAAATAAATAAATAAATAAATAAAATGAATATGATTTAATGATTTATAACAAAAAAGAATCTTGGCTCAGCGCCTATAGCTCAATAGGCTAAGGCGCCAGCCACGTACACCTAAGGTGGTGGGTTCGAATCTCCAGCCCGGACCCGCCAAACAACAATGACGGCTGCAACCAAAAAATAGTCGGGTGTTGTGGCGGGCACCTGTGGTCCCAGCTACTTGGGAGGCGGAGGCAGGAGACTCGCTTGAGCCCAGGAGTTGGAGG